GATTCAAAATTATTTTTAAAAAGGTGCATGAAAATTCAATGAAATCCATCACTTCCAGATGATTTGATAGTGAGCATCTTAGCCCGCGTCTTGAGATCGTTTTACACAAATCTCTCCTTAGAGCATCTCCAATGGGAGAAAAATAGAGCTCTTATGAAAGTCTCTCTGAATTATTGTAAAAAAAAATAAATCAGAAAGCTTTAATATTAAGAGAATCGTTTCTCTTAGGAGAGATTTTGGAGCTGAAGAGAGACGCATACGTGGCGATGGAGAAACTGAGAGCCTCTGATGTGTTGCGGTGTGGTTGGTTGAAGGGTTTTGTATGAAAGAGAAAAAACTATTCCCGTGTTTCTTTTCTTCGTCGCCTCTTTCAATGCGATTGTGAAATCGGAAGCGAAATCTCTCAAATCGGAAGCAATCGGAGGGTTTTTTTCACCAGTATCATCATCTCCACGGACGCTCCGGCCGACGGTGGCGCGGCGGCTGTAGTGGAGGAACAAACCGAATTCGATGTGGTTATTGGTTATCAATGAAGTTCCAAGTAGTTCTCGTATTGCTGTGATTAAAGCTGTTAGGGCTTTGACTAGCTTGGCGTCGAAGGAAGCTAGTGAGCTAATTGAAGGATTACCCAAGAAGTTTAAAGAAGGTGTGACTAAAGAAGTGTGATTAGTTCAGGGAATGTAATTATGTAATAGAAAGTAAAGCAATAGAGTAGTGTGTGTGCTTTGTCTCATCCTTTACCATGTCTTTTGATCCTAGCTTGTGTTTCTGCTGTGTATTGATTTGTGACCTCAATTCAACACTATCGAAAGAGTGAGATTCAAGATGGAACAACTAGATTGGAGTAGTGGTGGTGATACGAGATTTGAGCAAGCATCATCATGTTCAGCTTTAATATGTTGTTGTTGTTATTTGGATATTTGTCAACTCTTTTATTGAGTTTCTTGAATGTGTTTGAGCAAGCATCATCACTGGCAAGGTTCCATTTTGCTGAAACCCTCTCGCGCTGCTTCATTGATTCATTCAATCTCTATATTGTCTATGCTATGAAATTTGAACGTGCTTTATTTTGAATGTGTTTTTGATGTAGAAGACACCAAATCTGTCTTGTATAGGCTAAGTAGGAGACAAGACACTCAAATCAAAATATGTGTAGATCATGAATCTTTCATTTGCATTTGACAAGTTTTTGATGTGATTATGAACTATTGAAACACCAATTACACCAAACACCAATACTCCAATTATT